TATTATGTTTCATTTGTTTGTGTATAAAGGATGCTCATCTAGATGATAACATAATTATGATAAAAAGAAAAGGGGGGAATATGGGAAGCCAATACGAAATATTTGTAATCAACTTAATGCTATTTAAATAAAAAAACAAAACAAACACAATACTTGAAAGCAAAAAAAAAGAAAAAAAGAGATATGCTCTTCCGTATGTATGCTATTCATATTTCAATTTTTAAAATGATACTTTAGGCAAAATATATCAACTTTAAAATGTCCAGAAACCCAATAATCCCAAGTAATACTCACATGTTTTTCCGTTACAGCAGAGCACGATATCGTTTACCCAGTCAGTATGGTGTTCCATGGACGCTATATATGGATCTTGCTGAAATGAAAAGAAAAAAACACCAGAGTAGGTAAGTTTATGATAGAGGATGAAACATGTTACTTATTAATATTAAACATGATAATGTTTTAACATGTCAATTATAAAAACATGTTGTAGAAACACACTAATTCTAAAAAGCCAGCTGGCACTGAGTCAATTACAGGGGATGACAAGCCTACGTGCACCAGTTAGAGCCACGCCCCACAAGGTAGCCAATGGGGGGGGGGGTAGTAAATGGCAGAGTCAGAGTCACGCCTCGCAAGGTAGCCAATGGCAGAGTCAGAGTCACGCCTTACAGTGTAGCCAATGGCAACATTAGAGCCACGCCCCCAGGAGGAGAGTTTTTATACCAGACTGTCAGGCCTTTCTTCTAAGACCCCTCTGGGTGAACTCAGTTTGATTAGCAGTAGAACTGAGTTAATGGTTTGCACTACAAATTACTTCCTCAATTAATGTAACCCATTGCTCTATGGTCTCAAAATTAAAAAGTGAGTTTAGGGTATAATGTCCCCAAACAGGTCATAGATGTCAAATGGGAGGCTTTCTTCAGCACAGTTTTATCACTGGCTGTGAATGGGAACGCTCTTTAAGGTCCACTGCAACAGGTTTCTCAGGTGAGTGCCTTTTGCTGTGCACTGTGGCTGGGAAGGAAACAAGCTGAGTGCTGGGCGCCGTGGGTGGCTTGGAAGGTTATGAGAAGATGGATAAGCAGCACTGGGTGGTGGCATAGTTCACAGTGTATCACACTAACAGGAAAGAAGGGGTTACTAAAAGGGACAGGGCTTAATGGAATCTGGGGGAGGCGGGGATTCGAGTCAATGATGGTAAAGGCCCACAGCAGAGCAGCAGACATGAGTCTAAAGGTCATCCTGAAAGAGTCTGGCCTGACTGAACACCTGCTTTTAGCATCCTCCCGCCACCGCTTTTAGTTTCTGAATTAGATGTCCCTCTTCTGAAAGCTACAGTCCTTCCTGAAGAAACAGCAGGCAAGGGCTGACCTGAATCCCTATTTCAGTTCAGTAACCTAAGCCTCCTTCTGTTTCTCTCTGTTGGCTTAATCACCAGGAGAAACTTTTAAAAAAACAGAGTATTTAGTTACTTTGTATGTCTAAGCCAGGAAAGGTCTAGGCAGGATGGGCAAGAGAACACCTCTTTACAAATCTGAAATGTTATCCAATGTTAGCAGAAAATGAAGACTAGAAAAACGTCATCTTGATGGGAGAGGAGAAGGCTTTCCAGATTCCTCCAAATTGATTGCTGAGTGGTTTCCTTAATTTGTCTGAAATTCTGTGAATTCCCAGAAAGGTGACACATACATCAAATCAAAGCTCTACAAAGCATTTCAAAGCCAAAAAGAAATAGCTTTCTTAATTTCTATGCTTTTGACATTGGGCCACCAGTTTCCATTAGCAAAGAATTTGAAGACTTCTGTCCAGCAACTATATAAAGTAGTTTCTTTTATTGGACTGAACAACACAATTGCAGGGCTGGCTAAAAATACAATAGACAATTTTAATGATTTGATTTTAAAGAAACACAAAGTCTCACACCAGAATTTTAGAGTAAGACTGAGTTCTGATCCTCTGTCATTTACCACCCATTTGACCACTGGCATCTCGGAACCTGTTTTCCATGACAGAAACGGACCTTGACAGCTTCACTGAAGAGTTATTATAAGAATTAAAGTCATATGGATATGAAATGCTAACAATGTCTATCATATAGTAAGGGCACACGAGATTCTCCAATTTCTTTCTGCATCTTCCTTTCTGTTCTATACAGCAGGTTGTTCTATACCGTAGAGTTGGAACCCACCCATAGTTGACCCTCCAGTGGGCTTTCAGAGGCAGTTACTCGCTTGGGAGGAGATTGTCCATCCTTCTCCCATGGAGCAACTGATGGCCTTGAACCGTGTGCCTTTGGGATTGCAGCGCAACTTCTTGCCACTAGGCCACCAGAGCTCCTATATACAACATAGGCATTCTACAAGATAGGCATTCAAATGAAATGCTACTTCAATTTGCCTGGATTTGAAATGATATCTTCATAGACATTTAAGTTGCATCACCTCCTAGAAAAAGCAAGCTATCACTAAATCTGAAGGAAAGGAGAGACTGTTTTCATATTTTCACAGTAACCTTTGTAATGAAGAAATAAAGTATTCATTCAAGATTAAGTATAACTGTAAAAGCATATTCAATGTTTGGTGGTTTTTAAGGTTTTTTGATGTGGTTTTTAAGTATTTTTAAAGTATCTCTGAAAAAGAGTTACCAAAAGGGTTTTGGAAGATATCAAAAGTCACTTATCCATGACTTACTCAGAGCATTAAGTCAAGACATACATGCACGTCCTGCCTCACCTTGTGCTGATTTACACTCCATATTCTTATGATGGAGTCTCGGCCGGCTGTGAACAGCCTATTAAGTGCTGGATCCAACTGCAGGGCGTTGACTCCATTCCGATTGTACTTCTCCACTTCATCTCGAATAACATACGAGACCTGAAGAACAGTCAACATTTGCGTGAGTTTTAACAAAACAGGAAAACAACTCAAATGTAGTTTACTTCTAACCAATCTGAAATTCAAAATCCTGTACCGACTAGAACGTGCTTTCCAAGACAAGTCCATTTTAAAACTTTTACTCTATAAAGACTGAAGGGCTGTGGAGAAAAGGTGGAGGATACGGAGAGCCTCAAAATGTGGTAGATTAGAGCAGCATGGATGAGGAAGCACCTTTCTGAGAAGGCCTGGATGAGAAAAGAAACACCGGGCACAACCACCTCCCGGTGAGAATGGCACAGGACCAGCAATGCTCCATTCTGTTACATGGAGTCACCATGAGTAGGAGCAACTCAATGGCAATGACCACCATGGCCATGGTCACGACCACGACCGTGAACATGACCAGCACCACTGTTAAGTCACTTTGATGCTGAACACATCTGCCTCCAGCCAAGATTCCACTCTTGCTTGTCTTGGATCCATTCTCTATACAGAAGCTGAAGTTATCTTTTGAAAATATCTAATGGTACGTGCCTAACCTCTGCTCAGAAACCTCCAGCTGCCTACTCTTAGACTCATCATTTTTCAGAATGACTTAGCTTGGCCCATAGGACTTTGTTCCCCTTTCCTGCCAGGCACCCGCTCCCTTGGCTCCGTGTTCCTTTGGGACTGCAGTGCAGATTCTTACCACTAGGCCAGCACAGCTCCCCGATACATCCACAAAAGGGTCTATCATTAAATTAAGTTCCAGAAAAATAATGATGTTCTAATACACACCAACAACAAGGATGAACCTTGGAAACACAGTTGTACTGCTAACGCAAAGGTCACGATGCCTGTTTGGCGGTTTAGATTCACCAGCAGCTCTGAGGAAGAAGGATGTGCTGTCTCCTCCCACACCAGTGACAGCCCTGAAACCCAATGAGTCAGTCCCAACCCAACAGCAACCGAGTCTCTTAGAGGTGGAAGCAGAAGCACAGAAGGTCACACAGTTTACCGTTCTATTTATAGGGAATATCCACAACAGAAAAATCCATACACAGTAATTAGATTAGTGGTTGAAAAGGGCTAGGGAAGAGGGGAATGCAAAGTGGCTGTTAATGGCTAGGACATTTCTTCCTTGGGGCATGAAAATGTTTTGAAATTAGGTGATCAATACAGTTTTGTGAAAATACTATGTATACTTTAAAAACATAAACTTTATGGCATATGAATTTTACCTTGGTGAAGCTATTTAAAACGAACAAAACCCTCCATAAAAGACAGCATAAGCTCAATTAAAAGGTAAACCTGTAACTGGGAAAATATTTATATACATTATATTTCTATTTAACATTGTACATTGTTGTTGTTATTGTGTAGTATTGGTTGGAACTGACTCATCGCTGACCCTCTGGTGGGCTTTCAGAGGCAGTTAATCACACGGGAGGGGGCTGTCCATCCTTCTCCCACGGAGCAGCTCCTGGCCTCAAACCGCGTTCTTTTGGGATTACAGCGCGGCTTCTTGCCACTAGGCCACCAGAGCTCCCTAATATTATATACTATTTACATAAATAATATTTCTATATAGAGTAGAAAAATGTCTACTATGACATCTTCCATAGTACTGCTGTCCCTGTACTGTGTCGGGCCCCTCCTCATTTCCATTGTTCCCATTTCCCTGCGCCTCCCGCCTCCGTCTCTGCATTTTAAAGTCAATGTTGCCGGTTGGACTTGCATAGCTGACTGCTCTCGGAACACACTCCTCACGGGCATTTCTGCTTATGTGATGGGCCACTCTAATACTTGCTGAAAGGAGATGTCTGAGAGGGGCTTCAGTTCCCGGGGTAGAAGGTGCTTTAGAGCGAAAGTCCTGGGGGCTTCCTCCAGTTTCTAACCGTTCTGCACGTCTCTGATCCATTAATGAATCTGAGTTCTGTTCTACATTCTCCCCTCACTCTAACCAAGACCTTCCACGGTTCTAACCATGGTTCTCCTGCCCACAGGGGGCGGAGCGGCAGCTGGGCACCATCTAGACCTGCGTCTCAGGTCAGAAGGCTGTGGCTCACGCAGGCCGCTGCACTAAGAACTTCCTTGAGTTTTCAGTCTCCACTCTCCTTTGCTCCTGATGGTAAATGACTAATAGTTGTATCTTAGAAGGCCACTGAAAGTTTACTCTTGGCAACACACAAAAAGAAAGGATCCTTACAAAATAAGACCAAAAAAGTAAAACTCTTCAACAAATAAAAGATGATGAATAGGAACATTTACATAAAAAGAATAAAAGAAATTGAAATGTATATGTCTTTTTAAATTCTACTTCCAGGAATTTTTCCTTTATAAAGAACCAGAGATGTATACTTGAAAAGTTCACAAGGATGTTTTCTTAACCTAGTCTTTTGGGTGCGTGAAACTTGAAAGTATCTGATAGCAGTCATAAAGACATTAACAAATGTAGGAGCAACGATTCTGAAAACTGCTACATAACTGGGGAGGGACTGGAGAGCACTAGGCTGAGTGAAGGAATTCATTTTCCTAAGGACAAATACTGCATAAGACCATTAGTGTGGAAAGAGGTAACTAGCAAAACGTGTATGAGGAGCCAAGGTAGGCAGGCTGGGAGCAGAGGGGTGGGCATGGGCAGGAGGGAAATCATAGGGTCATGTGATCTGGTGGGTGGAGGGAGGTGGTAAAGGAAATAAGAGCCAGTGGGGTTCCAGAAAGGTAGGGTAATGGTGGGCATAGTTCAACAGTGATTAGTTTTATAAAATATAATGAATAGGAATATGAAACAATGTGAATGAGGGACAGTGTGAAGCACAATATGAACTGTATAAGCAAACCAGTAGAAAAAGAACTTTAAAAAACTCCAAAACTTTGAGGACTAAGGTATACCTGATTTGAGCCATGTGCTATGTGAAAGTCATTATGGATGTTAAAGTTGGACAATAAGTAAGGAAAATGGAAAAGCTGATGTCTCTGACTTGTAATATTAGCCAAGAATATTGAATGCACCAATAGGCATCTGTTATCTGTTGTTCATAGCGTTGCTAGGAGTCATACTTGACTCGGTGGCATCTAACAACAACAAATGGTAGATGAGAACGCAGCTCGTTTACTTTTGTATCTTCTCCCTCCATTTCTCCAACAGGTTTAGGGCTATTTTTGGTTAAATGAATAGTCACGGTTTACATTACTGTGATGCTGAAATGGTGTCCCAAGTACGCCATCAATGCACACATTCCCATCTTCAGACAGCTTGGTGCTTTCTCTAGCCTTTTTAAGCAGTTTCTCTTTGGAACCTACTTCATATTTTATTTTTTTTTTACTTCATACTTTATTAAGTAAATATTTATGTTGTGCAACTTTGTGCCAATCACTGTTTGAATCTCAAATAAAAACTAAAATCGGAGTTTATTTAACTCACAGCAACCTAGAGGATAGAGAGCTCCCAAAGGGTTTCTATGGTTTTACGTTTTTACAGAAGCAAATGTCCCCTCTTCATTCTAAAGCATATTTGTTAAGTTTCAATTGCTGAGCCCCTAGGGGCTGAGCACTAAACCACTGCCCAAGCAGGGTTCCCTTATTTATTATTTTTATATAAAATTTTAATTTTTCGTGTTTTGCTTGCAAGTTATGGGAATAATGTCGCTGCATCACCAGTTGGCATCATTTATGGTCGGAATTACGACGGCATCTGATGATCTTCGAACCTCCATCATTCCTAATGAAAACATTCTTGGCAAATGCTTTCACTCTGCTCCGTCTTGCATTGGTCCAAGGATTTTCTCTCTAGTGGTGCATGCCCCGTCCGAACCTCTTAATCATACCATTCCCTTTTCTTTTGTCTATTTAACTTCAACTCTGTTGTTGTGCTACTATGGTATTTTCCCCAAAGAAGGCTGTCCCCTCAGATCCCTCCCTCTGCACTTTCCAACCTGGCTGGCTATGACCTTTCTTTTGCTGTTCTTCTGGGCTGGGGTTATTGGCTCCTGAATCCCAAATTCTTCTTTCTTTGTTCATGAGCCAATTTTGTTGACGTGCATCCCCAAGATCTTAAGGAGTGAGATGGTACCTCATTGTGGTTTTTCATTTGCACCTTTCTTATTGTCAGTGATTTGGAGCATTTCTTCATGTGTCTGTTTGCCATTCAAATATCTTCCTCTGTGAAAATTCTTGCCATGTCTTTTGACCATTTTGTAATTGGGTTATCAGTCTTTTTCTTGTGAAGACCCAGGAGTATTCTGTAAACTTTGTTATAAGTTTCTTCTCTGAGATGGTATTACCAAATGTTTGTTCCCAGTCTGTAGGTTTTCTTTATTATACCCTGTTGGAAAAAGTTTTTTTTGTGCATAGGGATTTAATCTTTAGAAGGTCCCATGACTGGAAGAGATCTATATTTGTTCCTATCCCAAAGAAAGGTGACCCAACAGAATGTGGAAACTACAGAACAATCTCACTGATTTCACATGCAAGCAAGATTTTACTGAAGATTATCCAAAAACGACTGGAACAGCACATCAACAGAGAACTACCAGAAGTCCAGGCTGGGTTTAGAAGGGGTCGTGGTACTAGAGATATTGTAGCTGATGTTAGATGGATCTTGGCTGAAAACAGGGAATACCAGAGGAATGTCTGTGTTTCATTGACTATGCAAAGGCATTTGACTGTGTAGATCATAACAAACTATGGCTGACTCTGAGAAGAATGGGAATCCCAGAACACTTGATCGTTCTAATGCGAAACTTATTCAGAACAGAGCAAGGGAACACTGCATGGTTCAAAATTGGGAAGGGCGTACGCCAGGGATGCATCCTATCTCCATACCTTTTCAACCTATATGCAGAACAGATTATCCGGGAGGCTGGGCTCTATGAGGAGAAATGTGGGGTCAAGATTGGTGGACGATTTATCAACAACCTGCGTTCTGCAGATGACACAACCCTGCTTGCTGAAACTGAAGAGGACCTGAAGTGCCTGCTGCAGAGTGTCAAGGACTGCAGCCTACAATATGGATT